AATGAAAAAGAAAATATTGAACAAAATAATTGGTTGCAGGAACATACAGAGAGGTATGTTAGAGTGGTACTTGACAAAATGAAGGAGGAGAAGCTTTTTGCTTCACAAGGAGGCCCCATTATATTAGGACAGGTAACATTAACAAAAACACTTTTTTTAGTTGAATATGAATCTGAGAGTAGGTTTAGTTTTTAAAAGATTTGTGAATTGAAATTTGGATGCAGATAGAGAATGAGTATAGTGCGGTTCAACGAGCATATAAAGAAGATGGGCTAAACTACATTAAGTGGGCAGCTAAATTAGTACACTCGATGAATTTGGGGATTCCATGGGTTATGTGTAAGCAAAATGATGCTCCTGATCCTATGGTACGTAATCTTTAAGTAACACATTATATGATTATAAAAAAAAAAGGGTGTTAAATCAAGACCTTTAATGTTCTAACAGATCAATGCTTGTAACGGACGACATTGTGGTGATACATTCCCTGGTCCTAACAAAGACCACAAACCGTCTTTATGGACAGAGAATTGGACTACTCAGTGAGTTCTTGACATTTTACTGAATTAGTATCTTCGAGAAACCAAAGACCATTATAGGTTGATTTTAAGAGGTTTAATTTGATTGTAGGTTCCGCGTTTTTGGAGATCCCCCAACGCAAAGATCTGCAGAAGATATCGCTTTTTCTGTTGCCCGGTTCTTTTCCAAGAATGGAAGCCATGTTAACTACTACATGGTAAAAGATCGAAAAAAACCGAATACTAACGTATTTGTTTTCAAATGTTTTTAAATTGTTTTTTTTTTCTTGTAGTATCATGGAGGTACTAACTTTGGAAGAACATCTGCACATTATGTGACCACTCGTTACTATGATGATGCACCTCTTGATGAATACGGTAAAATCATAAAAAATGATATATAACATATGATCATTGTGAATGAGTAAAATCGAATGGTGGTTTAATCGTACCTTTTTATATAATAGGATTGGAAAAGGAGCCTAAGTATGGTCATCTAAAGCATCTTCACAACGCGCTTAACTTGTGTAAGAAGGCACTTCTTTGGGGTCAATCTCGAACTGAGAAGCCTGGCAAGGACACTGAGGTATATTGCATCTATATGCATCAACAAATCCAAAAGTATGAATCTTTCTTACAAGATATACGTAGAAAGAGTCAGTTTGTATTGTTGTAATTGCAGATTCGATACTACGAACAACCTGGAACGAAAGTTTGTGCGGCGTTTCTAGCTAATAATAACACAGAATCTGCAGAAAAAATCAAATTCAAGGGCAATGAATATGTCATTCCACCTCGCTCTATCAGTATTCTCCCTGATTGCAAAACTGTTGTTTATAACACCGGGGAGGTGATGATAAATCGAAAAAATCTTGTTGCAAATCATGTTTTTTTTTCTCAAATGAAGAAAATGAATCTTCAATGACATTTTTGTTGTTGTTATATTGTTCAGATTGTCTCTCATCACACTGCAAGGAACTTCATGAAGTCGAAAAAGGCGAATAAGAAGTTTGATTTTAAGGTTTTCACCGAGACAGTCCCCAATGAGCTCAAAGGTGATTCCTATGTCCCCGTTGAGCTCTACGGTTTGACCAAAGACGAGAGCGATTACGGATGGTACACGACTAGGTAAAGATAGAGAATTGGACTTCTTCTTATGAATGAAAACTAAAAAAAAGAAACCATAAGAAACTCTCTCTTTGCTTAATTTGCTATGTAGCTTCAAGATAGATGACGATGACCTTAAGAAGAAAGGAGGTAAGACTACTTTGAGGATTGCTAGTCTTGGCCACGCGTTGCATGTCTGGCTCAATGGAGAATACCTTGGTAAGATTGAGGACCATCGAGATCGTTGAGCTACAACATTTTGATGTATATGATACGAGAAGCTAGTCCTAACCGATGGATTTTTTTAGGAAACGGACATGGTAGCCATGAAGAGAAGAGTTTCGTCTTTCAAAAGAAGATTTCTCTAAAGGAAGGAGAGAACCAGCTCACAATGCTAGGCGTTTTAACAGGATTTCCAGTAAGAAACAGAGATGTTCCTAAGAAAAATCTTTATAATTACAAGAAACATTTAAGTTTTAATGATGAGGTCTATGAATGTTTTGTATCAACAGGATAGTGGATCTTATATGGAGCATAGATACACAGGTCCACGTAGTGTTTCCATCTTAGGACTGAGCTCTGGAACACTTGATCTCACTGAGAAAAGCAAATGGGGAAACAAGGTTTGTCATCATGAATCTTATTTTCTCGCGATTGTCATGGAGATTTTGATTCCGTTTGCCAAATCTTTAGGTGGGAATGGAAGGCGAAAAGCTTGGAATCCACGCCGAGAAAGGATTGAATGAGGTTAAATGGCAGAAATTCTCAGGAAAAGCACCAGGGCTTACATGGTACCAGGTGACAAAAAACGAACCTTCCCACATTAAAAATAAAGAAGATCTCAAGTATTTTAGAAAACTTGTAAAACAAAATATGTGATCTAATGAACAATGTTTGAGATGTTGTAGACACACTTCGATGCGCCAGAGAGCGTAAGCGCAACAGCAATTAGGATGAATGGTATGGGAAAAGGTTTGATTTGGGTGAACGGAGAAGGTGTTGGACGATACTGGATGTCGTTTTTATCGCCTTTAGGTCAGCCTACGCAAATCGAGTATCACATCCCTAGGTCTTTCTTGAAGCCCAAGAAAAATCTTTTGGTTATATTTGAGGAAGAACCAAATGTAAAGCCAGAGCTTATCGACTTTGTCATCATCAATAGAGACACTGTGTGTTCTTTCATCGGTGAAGAGTATACTCCTAGTGTTCGGCACTGGACTAGGAAGAATGACCAAGTCCAGGCCATCACTGATGACGTGCATCTCACGGCTACTCTCAAATGTTCCGGCACTAAGAAGATATCTGCGGTCGAATTCGCTAGCTTTGGAAACCCTAATGGGACTTGTGGAAACTTCACACTCGGATCTTGTAACGCTCCTGTCTCCAAGAAAGTCATCGAGAAGGTTAAAACTAAGAAAACAAGAAATTGGCTTACTTTTGTAACTAATGTTACTTGTGATAGAAGTAACACCATTTTTTTTTTTTTGCAGTACTGTTTGGGTAAAGCAGAGTGTGTGATTCCGGTGAACAAGAGTACGTTCCAACAAGACAAAAAAGATTCATGTCCCAAAGTTCCGAAGAAGCTTGCTGTGCAAGTCAAGTGTGGTCGTGACAAGAAGAACTAAGGATATCTTGATTTGCTTCGTTGAACGGTTTTATACTTTATGTCCAGTAGATACAAAAATTATGCATCGATTTGTTGTTTCATTTTTTGGATTTATTAATTAAAAAAATTTTGTTGATTAAACAAATATATATATTTTTTGAACAAACAAATAAACAAATATATTTTTGATATCGGCGAACCAATAAAAATGAAATGTAGATGTAAAACAGTGAAAATACGTAAGTTGGAACTAAAGATTTTCACTATTATATTCATTATTTTTTTTGTTAAAAAGTAAATATTTCATTGATAATGAAAACAGTTTAGCATGATTTCATGGCAAAAAAGATAAAAACATGGAGATCGTAAAACATGACGGTTTTCAGGCCGCCGCTTAACATTGACCCGTAGGTAATGGAGCAAGACGAAGTGATGACGATGTTGAATCCTCATCCAAAATCAGTTATCGTAGAGAAGATTGAAGGCAGAGCACGAAGACCACAAATAACCGAACCTGAAACCATAGAAGTCGTTCAAAGAGCCCCAAAAACAAGGAATTGTCAATGGAAAGACCTCAATGACCTCGATCACCAAACTCCTTTCGCGTTTAGTGAGAGCGACTAGAAGCCCAAGTCCATGAGCTAGCTCCAAGGAGAAACCTCACATCCAGAAGCGATCGGAGCAAGCTTCCCCTACCAACAACATTGGCTAGTACAAAGCTAGATATAGAAATGAAAAACTACGCCGAACACCATGATCTTACTAGCTCCTCTAAAGCCCAAGTCAAGCCAAACGATCCTCAACACTTAAACAACACCTAACCTACCACACACAACCTCAAGAGGAGGACACAAACAACAACTGGTCACTATATATACGGTGAAGCAGTCCAAAGAAAAGCCTAGAAGAAACCACCGGACGCTTAGCCCAAACTAATACTACAACACCGCAAGAACCAGGGGCATAACAAGAGCTCAACAAAGCTGATATCTCACACGCGAGATGCAACATTGACCACTATACCTGAGGGAATGACCACTGTCCACAGTAGAACCAACAATAGAGAAGCCAAATCATCGAGCCTAATCGACTAAAGAAGAGCCTGAACCACCAAACCCGGTATCTATGCGCTGCACCAAATCCAAGAGCCAAAGACTATGAGATTGAGGACCCAACAGCAGAGAGGAGAAAGCCCCCACAACCGAGAACAACTCCATTTTTGCGGTTAAGAACTCATAGACTCTGAGTCAAAGGAGATAACAAAAAGAGACATGGTGAAGACAGAGATAGACCCTCCACAAGCCGCAACCGTCCTCTATCGGAAGAGACTGACAATGGAGAAGCCGCACCACCAGAGGAAACCCAAGCACGACGGAGAATCCAACCCGAAGGATGGAAGATTGCGAGACCACCAAGGATGAATGAAACTTTGATACAGCCAACGGACGCCGCTCCAAGTCGATTGCAACATCAAACATCAGCGGGCTCACAAGGCCAGAGGAGGATCTATGAGATAGATCTACGACGGTCGAAAGTCGTGAGGCGAGTGTAGGGTTTAAGCTCTTTCATGAAATGACAACCCTTCGCCATCGACAAGCAGAGGGGTGACGACGGAGAAACCCTAGTACTCAGACGCGGCCATCACGAGCCGTGACTCTGGCCACTCACCGTGAGATGCACAACAAATCTAGAAGGTGGAGGTTGAGCGAGATCCGACGAACCAGTAACAGAAAGAGAAGATAAGGGAAGATGAGGGCCCTCTCATAGCAACGGCCGTAGCCGGACGCCAGAGAGGCTAGCGATGAACGACGGAGGTGGAGGCTTCGCGATCTGTATATTCATTATTTACAGCTAGATTTATTTTTTCAATCCATTATTGAAGATTTGCTTGATGCTTGAAATGTCAAGTAAGCAAAATCTTGGCGGATGCTTGAAATGTCATGTCAAAACGGCGGGTATTTGCTTTGCGACCATCCTTAGTACATTTGAGAGGCCTCATCATTGCGGATGAGTTGTGGTTAGGGGTGAAATGCCACTCGAATCCAGAGCTAGGTGGTTCTCTTCGAAATCATTGGATTACATGTGTAAACAAAAAAAACGCACGGTTCCTTAGTTAGATTGTAAAGAAAAGACTGATATTAGTTTAATAAGGATTGAAATATGAGATAGTGAGATCCCCTAGTGATTAATAATAGTTAACTAATATTTCCACAATAGGAGATATGAAGTTTGAGCCTTAAAAAATTTCAAAAAAAAAAAAAATGAGTTTGAATCTTGAAGAATGCAGATTAATGAAGCAAAGTTAACATGAGATTTTCAATGTAGTGTACGTCGAACCGTTCGTCATGATCTCACATCTTAAAGTTTAAATTGTCTACAGTAAAAATGTCAATATAATCGTTTTCATAATTTGTAATAATTAGTATTCTAGCATTAAAAAAAATTATACACAAAAT